GGGCGAAAGTGAGGCTTTGCACCATTGCTTGCTAATTTCGTCCCGAAAAGTTTTGGACTTTTGCCTGATTTTTCTTTAAAAAAAAAATGAAGTACTATTTTAAAAGCCTTTTTCTTGTTCCTTGGCAGTGGAGCCTGCCAATAAAAATCCGCCCAAGGACAGACAGAAATGTGCATGCCATTGTCTGAGGCTCACTCTCGCGTTCGGTTTGAAAGAATCGCCCTGAAAAATATGCGCAGAAAGAAACCAGGGTAATAAAGCAACGTTACTCCAGTTTTTTTTTTTTACTTGCCGATTACTTGGCACACGAAGCAAAATAAAAACACGGGAAAATGGGAGTTTCTCCTTCGTCTCGGGTTTTTCTTTCGTGTTTCGAACGAACGAAATAGCACCAAGCCCCTGGAACTTTCAGCTTCTCGCGTCCGCCTCGTCCAAAAAAAAAAGATAAATCGAGAACTCTTATCCGATATTCTATTCATGCACTCGACTCGAAAATTCCCCCCCTTTCTCCCTCTCGTCCCTCCCCCCGCTTCCCCTAACGCAGTGCTTCCTCTCTCTCTGTCGCTTAACAAAAAACGCTCCCCCGCAGATTCCGGTGGAAGCCGGCGGAAGCCACCCACGGACGACTGGGCATCCCACCAGCGGGATGCCCCCGAGGATGACGAACTTGAAAAAGTGGAGGACGAAGAAGGAGAACCAGAAGAAGAGCTTGAGGAAGGAGAAGTGGAGATAGGAGAAGAAGGAGGAGGAGAGGGAGGAGAAGAGGGAGGAGGAGAGGGGACTCGGCACTCCGCCGTCCGGCGCATCAGCGGCAGGGACTACCACAGCCAGTACGCCGTGAAGACGGACCTGGCCCCGGACCAGCACTGGGCCGCCACCCGCCTCGCTCATTCCCCAAACAGACCCCTCTTCAGGTGCCTCCTTTCCTTTTCTCGGTCTTTCCAGAGAACGGACGCGAACGGTTCCGGATGTTCCCGGACGGACCCGGAGAAAAGTCTCTAACTCGAACCGAAACTGGATAATTTGTAATTAAATTACATGTAGTTCATGTTTAATTTTTTTAATGACTTCTTCACGATCCCAAAACTCTTGTGCCGATCCTCCAAAATTTGCCGACAATACGCCAAAATCTAGGAAAGGACGACGTGATCGGTGCTTGCCAAAACAGAGATCAATCTTCATGAGCATCCAAATGGAAAAACAAAAGCTCCCATTGTTCACACTACTGTTTACCTCCCTCCCTTCCCCCTTGCCCCTCCCCCACGCCCCCCTTCCTCCTCACCCCCCCCCCCTCCACATTCTCAGCTGGAAACGCCTGAATGGCCCTTGAAGATGCGCCTCATCCCATTCCTTTTCCCCCGAAACGAGTCGAATCCGCATTGAGACTTTTCAGAATTTTACGTAACAACGGAATCCGAAGGAGGTCGAGGCAGCATCATCCCCTCCGGCAGCCTCCTCACCCTCCCTTCACGCCTCTGACCCCCCTTCAAACATCCGACACCCCTTCAAACACCCAACACCCCTTCAAACACCCAACACCCCTTCACCTTCCCGCTTTCCCCCCCCAGCTGGACTTTGACTCCCGGCGGAGGGCGAACGGGCGAGACGCGCCGGGGCTCCTCTCGAGACGGGGCAGCGGACTCCTCCCTCGGCGACCGCGAGGACTCACACCCCAAGAGGCGACAGGGTAAGACGAACAAGTCGAGGCGGAGCGGAAAAGGGCGGAAGCGGAAGCGGGAGTGGAAAGGCGGTTAGTCTTTTTTTTTTTTTTTTTCCGACCGGTCCTTCTCCTCTGTACTCGTACCAGTACTCCTTGGACCCTTCTCGTGCCTTGTCGGTCCCGTGTCCGCCCTTCTGTCCCCTCTGTGCTCTCACTAATTCTCGACCTGTCGAGGTAATCCAAGGCCAAGGTGATCCGACTTCAGTAGTTCGAGGTAGTCCGACTTCTGTGGGTCGATGACGAATGCCACCCGCACTTGCGAACGGCGTCGGTTTTGCATGATTGCATGGAGCGTCAAGCGCAAAAAAAATTTTTTTTTAATTCTAATTTTCATAAATATAGTTCTCTCTCACTCTGCTTGTCACCAGGACTTCATATTTCTGGCTGCCGCTGAGATATTTCCCCTCGACCTCTCTTGCCTTATTTGTGGGTCTCACCCGAGACCCGGCTCGGATCTGGCTCGGATCTGGCTCGTATATGGCTCCTACCTGGGTTGTGCAGCCTACATCGAGTTTTCGGGAGAATCCGATGAAGCTAAAGGGCGGTTAACCCTGAGATGTCATTCGATGACCGACGCTTAGAAATGTTGGGCTGCCACATGACCAGGAATCCCTGGCGTATTGTCACGACCAGAAATTCCTGGCACGTCGTCACGACCGTGTTCATTGCCACCTGTAGCATCGAACCCGTTCACAACCCCTCGGTTAAGGGCAAGACGAAACCGGACCGACCTGTTGTACTTGGCGACCTTGCCGTAAGGGATGAGCGGCGCGGGCACGAACTCGATCCTCCGGTTGAGCGTCTGCAGACAGCTCGTGTCCATGTCCTCCAGCGCCAGGTACTCCACCTCCCCCGCCTCCTCCCCCGCGTCCTCTTCCACGTCCTCCTCCGCTTCCTCCTCCGCGTCCTCGTAGTCGCTGCTGGGAGGGCGCGCCAGAGCCTCCTGGGGGATGTCGTTCTCGTGCTGACGCCCGTGGTGCTTTCGGTCCTTCCGGCGCCGGTGGTGCTCCGCGCGGTCGTCGTCGTGGGCCTCTGAGGAGGGAAAGGGATGGGTTTCGGTCGGAGCTGATGGCTGATGGCTGATGCTCGTGGGGAGAGCTTCCGTTTTGATGAGTGAGCAGATGAGAGAGAACTATATTTATGAAAATTAGAATTAAAAAAAAATTTTTTTTGCGCTTGACGCTCCATGCAATCATGCAAAACCGACGCCGTTCGCAAGT